ATGTTGAAAGAAGCTTTTTTGTTATTTTTTACTTTTGTGGCAAGCCTTTCTTCATTGTGAGCCTTAGCTTTCCTCACTTCATCTTNTGTGCTAAATAGAAGGGAGGTGACATCTTAGAAATAAAGAAACAAAGAAGAGGTGACACAATAGTAATATCAAAGGACAGAAAATCACTATTTAAAAGGGGTGGGTATTTACTGATTATAATAGGCATGTCAGAGACTTTTCTAATATACTAGAACTTGAACAATGGACTATATTTAACAACAATAAATTTAGAAACAAATACAATCGTATAGCTATTCTATATATCTGTTAATTATATATTATTGGATATTTATTTCCATATCTCTATATCTATTTGATACTCTGTTATATCCATATATTTATTTACACATAATAGGTTATGTAGAAATTAGAGGAAGAGTTTGTCATGTATACCTATACTCATATGTTATAAAAAATTAATTTAGAGAATCCTAAATATATACTTTATAATTACACTTAAATTGACTTTATAGAAACATACAAATTTAACTATATAGATCTTTAGACATATTTTAGATGTGCTTAAATGTTAGAATTTTTATAAGATTTATAATATTATAATTGATAATATATAATAATACCTAAGGTAAACTTTTGTAAGGTGTATCCAGATTCAAATTACCTATATTTATAGATTTATGCTGGTATTTAGAACTATTAGATTGTATTATTAACAGAGTTAGTATAAATAACAGAGTTAGAATAGGACAATATATACTTAATAGGTGTCTTCAATGCAGTGGTGGACACTAAGAATGACAATATGAGTAATAAAAAAATAGGAAGAAAAGAAAAAAGCTACCAAATACATGTTCTGAAATGATACAGGAGATAAATCTAAAAGATGCATGGAGAGAACTAAAAACAATATACCTTTTCCTCTAACTCCCATTACTCTTGGTCGAGAATTGATATGGCATGGATGAACCCAGAACTGATTAGTGATATAGAAGAAATAAAGATTTTGCTGAAAACATGGGCTGACCAAAACCCCTTAAAAATATAATAGAAGGGACAAATAAAAAGAATGTGATGGACATTAAACCAGAGGATTCTAAAAGGAAAAACCATATGTGCAAATGATGGCAAAAGAACTCAAATTATTTTTTAGGGAAAATCGGAAAGAACAAAATGCTACAAAATTTATGGGACACAACTAAAGCGTATATCCGGGGCTTAACAACGTGGTACAAAGAAATAAGGAGAAGAAAAAACACCAAATGGCACTCTAGAAAATACTCAAAGAATTGGAAAGTGCACTACAGGAAGAACCACAAAATAATAAAATTAAAGGAAAAAAAGATCTAGTGAAACATAACATTAATTCAATGCTGTAAGAAGAAATGATACAAAATCTTAGAATGATGAAACAACATTTCTTCGAAAACGCTAATAAGCCAGGGAGATGGTTGTTGTATAAATTGAAGAAAGAGTGAAAAAATTAATACAACAACTACAGGATGAGAAGGGGAACCTTCATCACTAGTCAGAGGGAAAAAATGTCATCCCAAACTTTAAAAAAAATATATAGCCAAGAGGACATATTAGAAGAAAATATTAAACAGTACTTAAAAGAGAGGGATCTGACGACAATAACAGATGAAACTAGAGAAATGATAAATAATAAAATAATGATGACAGAGATGAAGGCAATTAAAAAACAAAAAATAAAACACCAGGATCAGATGGGATTCAAGCAGAATTATACAAAAAATTCAAGAGCCACTTGAGGGATCAATGTTAGAACCGTATAATCAAGTTTGAGAGCAAGCCAGATTACAAAATTCATGAATTGAGGCATTTATAACATTAATTTCAAAAGAGGGTACAGCTAGCATGTCACCCCTAGTCCTTCTTTTCATAAGACTAGACATATCCAGTTCCAGCAGTCGTTCTTTATATGTTTTATCCTTGAGTCCCCTAATCTCTCTGCTGCTCTTCTCTGCACTCTTTCTAGAGTCTCAACATCTTTTTTACATCGTGGCAACCAAAATTGGATGCTGTATTCCAAGTGTGGCTTTATCAAGGCATTATAAAGTATATTAACACTTCACGTGATCTTGATTCTATCTTTCTATTTATGCAGTTTAGAACTGTGTTGGCTTTTTTGACAGCACATCTCTGCCTCATATTTAAATGATTGTCCACTAGGACTCCAAGATCCTTCTCACAGTCACCACTATTGAGCAAGGTACCTCATATACTGTATCTGTGCATTTTGTTTTTCTTGCCTAAATGTAGGCACTGTGTTACTTTTTTCACCATTGAATTTCATTTTGTTAGATAGCACCCAATGTTCAAGTCTGTCAAGATCCTTCCGTATCTTGAGCCTATCTTCTGGAATGTTGGCTATTCCTGCCAGCTTGGTGTCATCTGCAAATTTGATGAGTACCCATCTATCCCCTCGTACAAATCATTGATGAATATGTTGAAGAGTACTGGACCTAAAAGAGAGCCCAGGTGTACCCCACTGCATACCACCCTCCATGTAGATGCAGTTCCATTGAGGACTACATGTTGAACGCAGTTGGTCAGCCAGTTACAAATCCATCTGGTAGTGATGCTGTCTAGCCCACATTTTTCCATTTTGTCAAGTAGTAGGTTACAGTCTACTTTATCAAATGCCTTACTGAAGTCCAAGTAAATTATATTGACAACATTTCTCTGTTCCACTAGTTTTCCCACTTTGTCAAATAATGCAATAAGATTAATCTGGCATGATCTGTTTTTGACAAACCCATGTTGGCTTTTGGTTATTACTTTGTTTGCTTCTAGATTTTCACTGATTCATTGCTTGTTTATCTTTTCCAGAATCTTCCCTCAGGCTGATAGATCTGTAATTTCCTGGATCTATTCCCCCCCTCCCTTTTTTTTTGAAGATGGGAACTACATCAGCTCTTTTCCAGTCCTCTGGCAGTTCCCCAGTGCCCCAGGATCTCTGAAACATATAGTTCAGTGGCTCTGAAATCACATCTGCCAGTTCCTTCAGAACCTTGGGGTGCAATCTATTTGGTCCTGGTGATTTAAACTCATTTGGGGTAGACAGATGCTCACTTACCATTTCTTTCCTATTTTAACTTGTGTTCCTAATCTGTTTTTTGTGGTTCTGCTTTTGATAGATTGGACTGTTTTTTTTTCTCCTTTGTGTAAAGATAGATGCAAAAAATGAATTAAGTAGTTCTGCTTTCTCCCTGTTGCTTGTCACCTTCTTGCCACTTTCTCCCATCAATGGACCAATTGTTTCCTTGACTTTTTCCTGTTTTTAACATGTTGAAAGAAGCTTTTTTGTTATTTTTTACTTTTGTGGCAAGCCTTTCTTCATTGTGAGCCTTAGCTTTCCTCACTTCATCTTTGCAGGCTCAGGTTGCTAGTCCCTAATAGATTGAAAAAGAGAAGTAATTTATTTCAAGGTTAAATTTTAAATACAAATTTGGTTCATGTGTTCCATGAATAGTTTATCTGCTTTTCCTCTATAAACTAAGGATAAATTCTAACACGGGAGAGTCTTTCATGCGCTCTGAGCTTGGTCATTTTCTTGTAAATATTTCATTACCAGACTAGGTAACATCATCAGTGCTAGACCTGACTCCATAGTTCAACCCTGAGCTACAAATATTCTCTTGTATAGATTCCAACATATCACAAGTTCCAAGTTCCCATTACCTTTTTCTTTTCAAGTTCGGAGAGCATACTCCGCATCTGGAGTTGAGTGGAATTATGGTTATTTGAAGAGGATATAAAGGTGGGAATTTACAGCTCAATTCAGATTATCCTGTAAAATTGTTAGGGCTTATTTAGTATTTAGAAGATTGCAGTCTAAGATTGCAGTCTAACTTATCTGAATGGGTAAGGAGAAATGCCAAAAATGAAAACCCATGTAGACATAAAAAATGGGAACTCGGAGAGTCAAATCCAGCTTTCCTGTTCTAAGACAGCATCGTTGCATTAGAACATGAAAGATTTGAAGTCAGACTGGACAAAAATCCAGAATTACCACATGCATTCATTCAATTCCACAAAGAATGAAAAGCTGACCACCCATTCAAATCATGCCATTGCATCACCAATTCAGCACTGGCCTTTAAAAAATGGCTCATTCCCAAATTGGATTAGGAGCAACAACACTTAGAATCTAATATCTTCCTTTTCCCTTATCTTCTTTGGCAAAGTCCCCATCAGCACCACCACCATGAAAGCTATCATCATCATCAAACTCAAATGGTTCCCAATTTTACTGTACCTAATGCCATTATATGAAGTCCAATACCTGTGCCGCCTTTGCACATTATTAACAGTGTGTTTTTCTCCTCCATGGATCTTATATCTCCTAAAATGCTGCATATAACAGACATGGGGAGGCTCAGTAGAAGGAGGAAGTGAAGGTTAATGCAGAAGGAATGAAGTTTTCCACAGATATTTGGCTTTATTTATAGTGCAACATTGGGAATCAATATTTGTTTTAAAGCTAAGAGGAACATGGGAATATAAGACTGAAGTTAGAGATATGAATGTTGCCAATTAGGAGGAGCAGGAAAGGAAATTCAGCTAGATAAGAAAATGCATGCATTGTTTTAAAAAGTGGAAGGACCAAACAATGTCATTATTTCATTTCAGTTTGAATGATTCAAACTATCTCTGGATCAAATGTCTTCTCCCAAAGGTGCTTTTTCAAGGGGTAACTGGACTTTCTTTGTTTTTCTTTGAAAATATTTCACTTCTCTTCAAAAAAGAGAAGTTCTGACTGAATGTTGGAAAATGGAAGGACTTCAATCAGAACTGAAGAAGCTTCTTGGATGAGAAATGAAATGTTTTCAAGGGAAAACAAAAAAAAGTCCAGTTGCCTTTTGAAAAAGCACGCTTGGGACAACCATTACTAGATGACTGAGAATCCCCATATAAGTTCAAATGTCTTGTATTGAAACCTACCATTTATCACCCTCTCTCCTCATTAGTGGATGGTGCCTGGGGTGTGTGGAGTGAATGGTCCATCTGCAGCCCTGAGTGTGAGCACTTGAGGATCCGGGAATGCACTTCTCCACCTCCACGGAATGGTGGGAAATTCTGTGAAGGTCCAAACCAAGAATCAGAGAACTGTACGGAAGGCCTTTGCATCCAAGGTAAGTCATGCATCTGTGAAACTCATTTATTAAATGAGGGCTGAATATTCTCTAGCCATGTGTGAGCTTTGATTCCTCTTTGCAAACTCCAATTCTAAGCACAACTATCAAAGAAGACAAATATACATGTCCCAGGATAATGTTGCAGGATCCAATCTGGGTCACAGACTGGGACCAGAGGTTTAGTCTTCCAAGCTAGAACCCCATCCCAGGGAACTTGTGCCCAAATGTTGAAAGCTCCTAAAACTAAACCTCTGGTCTTGGTGACTGACTCAGATTGGATCCTGTAACAATTAGCAAATTTTGGTAGTACATTCCTGTTATTTGGAGTCAGGAAATGAATAAAACCTTCTTAAAGTAGCCCCTTTCAATTGCCTAATTGTAACTCCAGTTTAATTGTATCCTTTGACGATTTAACTACTTCTATCTCAAACTTTTCAAACCTATCTTCCTTCCTTCTTTACCTTTTTGCATCCTTATAAGCTTCATAGCCACGTATCTATCTAGTGAATAACTGATGTTAGAGACTGATGATAATTGTATGAAGTCCACTTTTTCCACTAGGAGCTGATGAATTGCATATGTTTGCCGCTTTCATTTATTTGATTTCATCTGAATTTTTCTTTGGAGCTCAAACCCTTTGAAGTTCCTGGGAAGAGTTACATTGGCTAGAAGGGATTCCTCTTGAGGGTGAATAATTAATCTGGTATTAACTAGGCTAGTCCAGTGTGACTCATTGCTGCAAAAACAGATTATGTCAAAGCAAGATCACATATTCTGGGAGATAACTTCCTTCTTCCCCATGTCCATAGCTGAATGATCATTAAGCTGCACACTGTTTTCTAATTTGGGAATAGAAGTGACGGAAAATAAATTGTATTTCTGTATGCCTATGTTATGAGTATGAAAAATTCCCCCATCTCTTTCCATGGTTAAAGGCCTTATTCTTTTTATTAATATTGGCATCCTGTTGCCTTAGAGCTTCATGTAGTCTTTGGCCTAATTTTATCAACTTTCACTCAGCCTGTTCACTCCCCATTAGCTTGTTATGGAAAAACAGTGAAGGAAAAGAAAGAGGGAGTCAGAAATTGATTTAAAGAGTATTGAGAGAAGGATTGAAAAATATGATGCCTTCACCCATGTTTAGATCCAGATATGACTTTGTCTTTCTTTGTCCTTTATCAACATTTTCTTCCTGAAGGAGCAATGCCCTCAACACCTAAAATGGTGATGGGGAGAGAAGAGAGAATGAGCAAAAGAAAGACAGGAGGGGAGGGAGAGAGAGAGAGAGAGAGAGAGAGAGAGAGAGAGAGAGAGAGAGAGAGAGAGAATATCTCAACCTCTGCTTTGAGTGGGATGAAAGTGAAGACTAG